TTCAGAACACTGAATACATTGAAATGGCCCAAGCAGTCAAGGCCATCTTCTCTCTCTTTATTCATCTTCTCATCTTCTCATGCGCCTCTAAAGCGCTTCGTTCCACCCGCTTGAGCTCCTGAAGGCAAAAAGCCGGCGGTGTGAACGAGACCGGTTTGCGGCGCCATCACCAGGTGGGAATGCTTCGGGCATCGTTCAATATATTTGTAGAGAAGTCTTCACATGTGATTTCTGGTTGTTGGTTTCAAGTTTCAAACGCACTTGAATAATGTTAGTCAGTGGGTTGAATCATCCCAAGTAAGGGTTGAACAAACAAATCAGAAACCATTAACCTAATTAGGTTTTTGGTGCGTCTTTCCTGTAAGCTTAGGGTTGCGTCAATTTAACCAAGAAAGGACCCCCAATTGGGGTGGTGGGACACTGCGATACGGTCGACCGGCGTCGACCCGTGTCAACCCAACGCTCGTCCAAACGAAGCTTTGTCGGTCAGCTTTGAGACCAGCCGAATGGAGGACCGGACATCATGGAAGCGGTTCCGGCCTGGCCTAACCATGAAGAAAGGCCATGACATCCTTTCCAACACCAAAGGGATGGTCCACTTCCATGGGCAGGACGGAGGACGAGGGCCCTCCCAACCCACTTGGGTTGCGGAGTTGGAGATCGTCTGCAGCAAATCTCGTATGATTCCCTAGCAACACGTGGACACGGGGGGGAGTTCAAATAGGGAGACCTCCCAGTTCGACCACCTCGAAGAGGAAAACTAGGCCACAAGCATCCAAACGCCATTGAATGGGCTCACGGGGGGGGGGGAGCAGCTGGCCTAATACAGGCCTTGACAAGAAACAAAGCCACAAAGCCACAAAGCCATTGGTTGGGGGTCCCGTCTTTCCCTCTTACGCACCCAGGGGTGCAGAATGGCGATCACCTACGCCCGCTCCTGAAAGCGCGCGCAACGAGACAAGTGTCACGAGTTCAGCTACAGAGTCGTCAGCCGTTTCAAGGGACCCTTTTGCCGCACCACGGTCGTGCGCCATCTGGCAGCGGACCCACCCGAAAGCACGGGACCATTGAAGTACCGGGCCCCCCCCCCGCCCGGCCTGCATAGTTGGATAGATCAAAGAAAGGAAGTTGCATCGTTTGATCTGTCCAACTATGATCCTTGCATAGTTGCACAACATCCCTGTGGAAGGATCTGTACTATACTGCAACTACCATAGTTCTGTTGCATGATCCTCCCACAACAAAAAAACGCAAAAAAACGAGCTCGGGGCTGGTCATGAGATTATGATCCAGGAGTCGACCGAGTCGAGTCCGACCACGAATCGATCGGCGAATCAATCGATCGACGAGCAGCTACATGGCCTTTAGGTCTTGGACATTTGGGGGACGAGCCATAATGCCATAGACATGCTGCAGGTGTCCAAAGCCAAACCATGTATGGAAATACATGAAAATACCTACATTGGGGTCATTTACATGCGGTACATGTAGGTCGCCGTTCCATACATGGATGGTCTGGGTCTGCCGTGTAGATAAAAGCATGCACAGTGCAGTAACACTATTGCGCAACAAAAATGGCGCTCTAGCTACCACAAGCACGGGACGAGCGAGACAACAGTATACAAATGTATAAGGCGTCCCTGGTGGTCCAAGTGCCGTTGGCCTTAACCCAATGAACTACAGTGGTTTCAGAGTAAACCAAGATGTCCTAGACAAATGGGGGTCCATATAAACCACCTTTTGGGGTCTGTGCCATCTACGCTCAATCCACTATATTGGAACTAATGCTCCTCCCCCGTGCTCCTGACTGGAAAAAGCTCTTCTCCTTGATCATCTCGCGGCTTGGGCGTCCCTGCAGGCTAGGGCCCCCAGAAGCAGGGCTGCCCGTGATGGCCTCCACCTCCTCACGATCTGACCAAAGAGGTTGGATCAAAGTCCCCAGCTTTTTGCGATCGACACCTTCGAAGATGCATGATTTTTAGATATGTTCAGTAATCCGAATCACCTTGCAAAGTTTGGCACTAGCCCTTGAAGTGTCTCTTAATTTGGAAATGAGCTCCGAACCCATCCTGAATGAGTCCTTGCCGTCCTACTTGCCGTCCTCACTACGATCCAAGGCGACACAAACACACAAACACATCAAATTCTCCCACCCCAGCCCTGCTCATGGCAGGTGTCTTAAAAAGGTGTCCTTCTTTAAGATATAGAAGCTGCTCGTGGGGCTCATGGGTATCGGCATCATCTGGAAGTGTCTCCGGATCAACTCCTTAGGTCTCATTGACTCATGGCTGTGCATTTCAAAAGGGGGACCTCCCAGTTCAATTTGCTGGAAGGATCATGGATTTTCACCTAGACTCCCAAAAGGATCCTCAAAAGTTGTGGCTTTGGAGGAGCTTCCCAGAAGGTAAGAGCTCCAACCCCAAAAGGATCCCCAAAAAAGGGAGACCTCGGGGTCTCCTCAAATCTCTTCCATGTGGCGCCTCTCAAGCGGCGATCCCAGGAGCGACCATCACGAATCCGTGGACGTTACGGGTCGTCTGGACGGGACGCGTCGTCTGGACGCAAATGGACATGTCGTGTGCTTGAACTTGGTTCCACATTGAATAATAAGCTGTATCGAACATGTATCATGAAATCTTCACCATAACGCAACATTTTGCCCGCCCCTGCCCCTTTGTTGAGAGCCCTCCGCTGCAAGAAAAAGAAACCAATTTCTGCAGGTTTGCCGTCGTGCCCGGGGCCCGGCGTTTTTTTGGTGGGCTTTTACAATGTAGAACTGCAAAAACATCTTCATATATAGTACTGTATAAATATATATTATATATATATCATATATATATATATATTATGGGGAATCGGACATTTGATGGAGAGTCTACAATCGCGTGCTGCCCAGCATCTCGTATGGGCGCCTCCCAGTCCGCCGCTGGCACCTGATCCTTCTGAATCCCCTTCACGTCCTGTCAGAAATAAGTGACATCATTAGTGACATGCCATGCGTTCAGAATGCCATTTCCCTCAAAGCAAGACTTGCCCTTTCCTACGATGCCATTCCCTCTTGAGGGGCAATGGTCTGGTCCGTCGGGTCTGGCTTCAGGATGAATCAGCATGACTTGCCCCTTCTCATGTCCCAAACAGCTGAAGGTTCGGTCGGTTCCGAAAACAGGACCCGCCAGACCCTCACTTCGTCACTTCCAGATCCCCAGCTGCAGCAGTTTTACCCTGCTTTCTTAGAAAGAGTTGCAGATCGCAGGGGTTCATACAAAACGAGAAAACAAACATCTGATGAATAGTACAATTAACACCCATACACGGAATATATGCCTACATTGACCCCCCAAACCACCCCAATGTAGGCATATTATATGGCATACATGGAGCGTCTGGGATAAATACATATATATATAATATAATAGACTCCAAACATATCATATGTCATATAGCCTGTAGATTGCAGTATAATATCTCATATGCAGTGTAATTACATCTCTCATGTAATAATTACTGTAGATGTGCAAATTACGCACAGCCCTAGAGTCTAGAGCCCGAAGGGAGGCTCGATGTGACTTGTACTGATTGACGTATGATTTCAATTGGGCCTGTCGCTCCTTCCAAACATAAAGCATGGAATTGAGGAAACCGTCGTTTTCTTGGAGGAATAGTCTTCCAAGTGGTCAAGCTCGTCCACTTCCGTGCTTGAAAATGTCCAGCCGGGCAGACTGTGGCAAAGTCTGTCTGACTCTTTCTTGAGTGTTGATCTTCTTCAGCTTGGATTTGCTTAAACAACACCAAAACAAACAACAAACACATACGGACAATCAACATCAACCGATGCCGCAAACCCAATTCTTGGGCGCCCCTCCTGTGGTTCCACCGGCTTTGCTTCGTAGAGCTTCTTCAAGCGCTGGCCCAGTTCGTGTACCATCGAGCTACTGCCGCGCAGGGCGGCAGCGGCCGCGCGGGGCGCCGCGCGGCGGCACTTGGCGTGGAGCATGGGCGCCAGCATGGGGTCGCTACATCTCAGGTGGAGATGCTCCACATTTTGGGGATGGGAAGGCGCAAAGGCGACCCCCAAAAAACGGATGTGTGGCTGAGTCGGTGTTGGTAAAACCAATTCTTGCAGCAAAGTCACGCAGATTCACACGAAAGCTCGACCTGGTAGCGCTTTAAACCCCTGTTGTGTGAAGGAATGAGGCTACAAAAGGCGAGGTGTCAGTGGAATCTTGGATGGCTGTGCAAACCGTGTCCAGAGTTCTGGCTGCATGGATGCCTAGCTGCACCTTGCTCCATGTTCTGCATGTTTTCTGTCACCAAGGCTGAGCAAGGCTGCAACTCTTGCATGCTGAATTTACATAACTGGTAACAATTGCCTTGCGACAAGCGTGTCGAGTCTGGTTATATAGCTAAAAGATTAGGCTGCTGCCAGAAGCTGCACAAAAAAACAAGTCCACCATCCTGGAATGTTCAGGATCACCGACTCCTGCCCTTCTTCAACCTATCTCTCACACCCCTTTCAGAGTACCAGTTTTGACGAGCCAAGTGCAAAGCCACATCCAAACACCCCCTGCCCCTGGCGCTGTGAAAGCTGAAGGGCTGTGGCCACGGCATTCCGAAAGTGAACTGTCAGTGAAGAACATTGAAGAACCCTCAGCTCACCTCCTTTTTTTGAGCGACTCTTTTGGGGCTCTTTGCCCTGCTGCACTCCGAGCTCTCAGCCTTGGGCCTTCACTCCCTGCACTCCGAGCTTTTTCAGGCCCAGGCTGTCTAGACTCCTGGACGAGCCGCTCGTCACCACGGACGAACCCGACCCGAGGGTCGGAGAACGCGCCGAACCCGAAGCCCGGGGTCGGCGCTGGCTGGGTCAAAGGGCTAATCTTATGTTAAGCAATGGCAGCCATGACCAACCACGATTTTGGCTCATTGTATCTATGGCGTGCCAAACATAATCCCCGGTAAAGCTGGCTAATCCGATGTTTTAGACGGCAACTTCGTTACCCGAGACCGAGCCCCCCTAATCCCCGGTAGGTTGGACATCCCTGGAAGTCTGTTCTATGTTCCTTCCTGAAAGGAGATGGCTGTTGGGCCCTGCTGTCAGGCTGTGCAAGTATCGATCGATGGTCAAACATGTGGCGTAGGCTCTGCACTAGCAAACTACATTAACTAGTAGCATTTGCCCAAACATGCTGTTGATATCTTTTGATAGGGAAACCCTTTGATCAAAGCAAATGAAGTCATCACCAGAAAACATTGGCGCAACGCAGAGCTGTCACCGCTTTGTCTTGCTTTGCTAGCTTGCTAGCTATCATGTGGAGCACTTGATCGCTTCCTGTTTGCTGTTAAGTTCCAGTGTGTGGTGCTTTTTCGATTGGCTCGACAAGCGGTCCGAGTACATGAGGCCTATGGTGGGGCACTACAAGAAAGAACCCCACCAGGAGGTTCCACCAGAGTGAGAGAGAAACAACTAAGTGAGCGTGCGTCCCTTTGGAACACCTGGTGGACAAAGCCATCCCCTAGAACCTCTCGACCTTGGCCCAAAACATCAAGATCCAAAACCATCCAAATCCGTCCGTTTGCTAGATCATTTCGGCAGCTTTTCAAGGTCCCAAACACCGAGCCCCCCCGCCACCGGGGTCCAGCTGGACCTTATATATCCCTTCTAACTAGGACTTCAACCATCATTGATGCCATGGCTGCCACGAGGAATCCTTCTTTGACTAAGGATTGTACACACCAAAACCCAAGTCCAGCGACCTCTCAGGTCACCGAGTCTGCTCACCGACACGGTCGACCGAGCCCCACCGACCTCGGTGGACCGACCGTCCTTGCCAACCGCGGTGCCTCTCGTAGCCCCCGTCGGTCGTCTCCACGAAGTCGGCCACCTCGCAGTTGGCCAGGTACCTCGCGTTCGGGCTGTTCGAGCGGCTTTCAGAGGCGGAAGGCCATGGGCTGAGATGAAAGAACGAGGACGGACTGAGGGACATGGTGGCAAGTGCCACAATCGCATCTGTAGAGTTCAAATATGTTCAAATGGTCTGCTTGGAAAACGTGATGGCCGCCCAAGAATCTAGAGGTTGAAAGCCTTCCGAGTCCAGTCCATGCGGAATGCAAGAAACCAAGTGTTTGCTTTCAATACGCTTCCGTCTCCACCTGCAGCAAAAGGGATCAACAAGGAACAATACCCAAAGAACCTGCCAGGACCCGCAGTCTGAGTCAAAAACGGATCTCAGCGTTGAATCAAAGACCCCCCTTGGGTATACTTCACCAAAGGCTTTCCAGCAGCACGGAGTCTGGGTGGTTTGTTGGACACCGCTGACTATGCATGTTCCATCCAACAACTGCCTTTTCCGGTGGTATTCCGGTGGTGCTGGTATTGCGGTGTTCATGGATCTTCCTCTGGTGCAGCTGGCTGGAAACCGACAACAACCAAACCCATGGCGGTCTCGCTCTTGCCTTTCACCTCGCCCTTGGGCAACTTCTTCAAACATCCTGCTGGACCCTTTGACGGCTTCTTGCAGACTTCAAGTTTTCACCAAAACAGCCCCCCAAACAAAATATAGTTATATACTACTTTACTTGTGCCCTAGCCTTCACAAAACCATTAAACATATCGTTGACCTGGTGACCTGCTGGTCCTGGTGTAGTGCAAGAATCCATCTTCAAACGATGGCTCTTTGGTGGAGACCTTTGCTAAACAGTTGTTCAAATCCTAGGGTTATGTCATTATGCAAAAAGATGGCTCTTTGGATTCTTTGGTTTCAGACCTGTTATAAAAACAGTTACTTAAACAGGTGTGAACAAAATCCTAGGGCTATGTAAACAAAAATGCGTTTGGGGTTCCAAGTTCAGGAACCCCCCCACCTCCCCCCCCCCCCCGCCCACTTCGAGGACCGGGTGCCCTGAGGACCGGATCCGGCCTTCCCAGGAGCGCAGCGAAGAAGGCGCCGTGGCCGATGACCACGATCCGATGCCTCGGAGGGTGCCGGAGCTGGGATCTTTGGGAAGCTGGATGAGTTGGGATGGTTGGAGTTGGGATGGTTGGGGAGTTACGGAATGGTTGGGGAGTTGGTTGGGTGTTACGGCTTCAGAGTAGTAGGTGGCACTGGCAGATGTCGTTGAGATGAAGGAGTGCGAACGCCGTTCCCCCCCCAAAAGGAGACCCACACGACACAGTGGTGTTTCAGAGGCCTCTCCTGGTGGCGTTCCTGGCGTCCAAAAGCATTTGGATGCGGGGTCCAGGTCGTCCTTCTTCCGCTGTGTGTCTTTGGAGGCACTTCCAGGGGATCTGGCCCCAACGACCTACGGGCCGACCACAGGTCCTACGCTCTACGATCGGGATCAAAACAAATGGACCAATGGAGGCTGTGTGCCAAACAAGCACCTCCAACTCTGGTGGGAAACGATGTTCCCCTTCTAACTACAGGTGGGCATGAATATTATGAGTCAAGAGTCTTGACATGTCTTGACGGCGTGCAACTCGGTGAGAACAACCACCAGAGAAGCATTACAACCCCACCAGAACCTTGTTGAGAAGGCATCCCGAATCATTTCCAAGGGATCGAAGAAAACAACCGAAAGTATCCAAAGAGGAGCAACAGCTGCAAGCATCATAGCATCCACTTTCTCCATGAGTGGTTCCCCCAGAAGCCCATTTCGAGCTTCAGATCCAACCCCTGCACTGTGCAGCGAATTATCCATCCGCACGGAAGTTGCCATCCTCATGACATGCGACATGCTCCTGGTTGAGCTGGAATCCCAGCAGCCCGCAAGTTTGGACAAATACGCAGTTCTTGGTTCGAGTTATCCCAGGTGGTTCAAAGCCGAGATTTTGCACGGCGACTTTGGAAGGCCTCAAAGGGGCTCACCAAGTGATCCTGCCCCCCAAAGCCGTGGCCTTTTCTTCTCCCAGTTGGTCTTACCACAATTGAAAATCTGAACCCCAACCACTGCCAGGCCGGCCAAAGAACCAGCAAGGCTATGTGCCAACTCTCAGCTCGAGATTTCGAGATTGCTGGAGGCACTGAAGTCAGGCCAATCAAGGCTAGCCTTCCTGAAACACTCGTGCCAGATCCCCAGGAGACGTTCCGATTGGTCAGGGTGTTTAGAGAGGATGGTCGATGGTTTTCAAATGTGTTGGATCTTCATCATTGCTCACCTGCAAGACCTGCAAGAACGCCGCAAATCCAGAAGCTGGCTGGGTTTTGTTGACCATGGCTCCATTATATTGGTACGTCTTGAAGTCAAGAATCAAAAGAATAAGCATTAATAAGCTGTTTTTTAGGTTTGCCCGGGCAAGCCTACTCTGCATCCATCCCAAAATGGACGCACACAGTCAGTCATCTCTTAACCTTCAGAACGTTTGAAGGGTTCTACAGTATTCAACCTTAGTGCACGAGGGCAGCTAAGAAAGCTTCCTTGGAATCGTTTCACTGGGAATCGTTTCACCTGTAGTAACAAGAAGCTTTTAGTATGTCTTTGAAGCTCCTTAGTGACCAGAAACTCTTTAGAAGGAAGGTTTCTTTGGTTCTCTTATAATGGCAATTCTAGACCGGATTTGGCCTTCATGCAACTTCCAAGCTATCCGACCACATCTCAGGAATCTCCAGCGCTGTGGTGTCCAGGGAGCAATCCATGCCTCGGGTCCCGGCTAAACCACAGAGTCACCCATCCTCACAAACCTCCACTCCAAAGCCTTGGACCAATCTTGGGGACACGCACATCCAGTTGACCGATTCACAGTTTGTTCTTTTCACGAATCTTCTGGCCCCCCCCGAAGCAAAGATTTCTTCCAACAAACCATGCGTGCGTTCTGCCCGTCCTAGTCCACTAAAGGATGTGGGCATCATGTGGCTGTTGAACACTCTTGGAGAGCTACCAACCAAAGCATCCAACATGTTCCAACCACTTCCAAACATCTACTTCGCAGTCTTACTGGCCCACCACTTGGCCCACCATGTCCCACCCGGTCCAGGCCACCCATCTTCTGCGGCGTCGGCCATCGTTCGCCGACCTCGCCCTCCGCATTGGGGGGCCACCTCGGGCACTGAAGCTCGATGGATCTGCTGACGGA